GGACGCGAAATCATCATATCACTGTTTGAAATGAGAAAGTTTCCTTGACCACTTTTCCAATTGAAACAATGATATGATGGTTCCGAAGTCAAGAAGAGTGGGGAAGATTATTTTGAAAGTTAGTAGCGGAAAACTCACTTGATTATTGTTCAGATAAGATTATGGGAAAAAACAAGGTTGGAGACCGAATCGCAAATTTGGTGAAATGCAATGAAGGCGGTCAAGCATGAGCATAACTGAAGATTTGCTCTCCTTCAGTGACATCGCTTGCTAAATTAGAGTCAGATGAAAATTTGGCCATCTCCATCGTTTCGTATTGGTTACCACGTGGTTTCGTTGAGAAGATGATGTGAAGCTGCTGGTTAGCTATTGCCATGAAAACTCAATTAACTTTGACCAATTATTAGGTTGAACACTAAGTTTTGCAACTTTTCTCATAACTTCCCTCTCACTCAACAAGGTGCACTCAAATTTTGCCATGGTGTTGGCTATTATGTATACTGCAAGCGCTGCTGCTGTTCTACCAAATTCTGACGTCGCAGTGAGGGTTACGGTAGGTGTATGGTATGAAGGGGAAAAATTCAAAGTTTAACGGATTTGGCTGAAACTTGGCATAGGGATGTTATCCGACATGCTGATCACGAAAGCGATAGTGAAATTGCGTGATAAGGGCTTTTTTGTAGGATTACTGTAGGTGTATGATATGACGTCTCACCCTAAACAAGGAAAAAGGCGTTGATTCAACAAATGAATATGATATTCGCATTCGGCAGGTCGAATAACCTTACTATGTGAAGTCTCGGCGGAATTTGAGCTTCGGACTCTTTAGTCATTGACGGTCGTCCCCAGCAGCTCTTGCGTACATCGACTCGTTCGACTTTATGAGGACGCCAAATCTCGACATGCCCATAAATTTTGTTTCTTTCTTGCTAGGCCAAAGGAGTCAACCTTTTGCAATAATTTGTAGACGAATCCGGATTACTGCGCATGGTCTAGGCTGCCAAAGGCTTCATTTTAGCTTGAAACCTCAAAAATTCTCAAATTTTACTAGTTTTCGAAAAATGCCTGAAACTTTTCTATTTCGTGTTCAAAATTCAGACAATTTGAGCTCGCTTGTAGCTTACATTGCATTCTACATGATGCCAAAGTTTGAGTGCGCCATGTTGAATGAGAGTGAAGTTATGAAACAAGTTGCAAAACTTAGTGTTCAACCTAATACTACCACAGTTTAGTTGCATGTCTGTATGTCTTTGTGTCTGTACGTATGTTTCGAGCAGAAACTTTTTCCAAACCGATCCGGATCAAACTTGGCACACATACACTTTGGACGGGGCAGGTGTCGTAGTTACTGTTTCTTACTGATTTTATCAAAAAATTTTGCAAAGTTTCACCACGAGGCTGGGAGCTGGCGTCGAGGGATGAGTGAGAATGCTGATAGCGAAAATATTATTGACAGAGCCGGTTGCCAGCTGGTATAGAATATTATACGCTTTCCTGGTAACAACGTCTAATTACTAGAGAATACATGCGAGAAACTGATCATCTTTTCCAGATCTTCCGCGAATTTACATTTGCAAACGTAACTCTTTTGATTAGGCGTCTAGTTCTTTCTCTCCTCTTTCAATATGCATTTGTAAGCATTTGTCAAAATAAATGGAAAGATCCCATGCATTTCCAAGACTGCATTTTTTTCAATGGTTCTATTCAGCGCATGCGAATTGCATCAGAACCCAGGAATTATATTTCCATAAATGCACATGAGCATAAATTTGTATCATGTCTCAGAATGTCGTTTATTCTTCTGATTAACCAAAAAGTCTAGTATAATTAGGATTGAAAAGCATTTACACATGTACTCGATGCTTATCTTCACTCTCCATTGGTTAAATTTCCAAGAGATAGTCTTTTTTGACAAACAAGTTTTCAGCTGTTTCTCTACTGAGCATAACCTCTAAAATTTTTATTCTAGACTTGCTGCCTTGGACTATGTTGATAACCTTGGTCTGATATCAATTAGAGGGTTACAAAATTTTTTGGGGGATCTCAATTTATAAAATCACAAACAACTACTGCAGTGGAAACGTGAAAGCTTTCGCAGCTATAGTAGAGATTGATTTTTGTTAATTTGACATTTAGTTCCGACTCAGTCCAGAAAATCGAGTTTATTTACGGTATACTTGCGCGTTACATTGCTCAGAAAGCTAGGGTTTTACTTATGACTGTAAAGGCTGGGGTATTGTCTACTGCTTTACTATTGAAAGTCTTGAAGTGCTTTACTATTGAAAGTCTTGAAGATAACATGTCTTCCGTCAAAAGGGAAAGGAAGATGAATTTTGTTGGTTACATTTTTGGCGATGAGGAGATAAATAATATGTTGCTGCGCAGAGTCTAGATTATATTTTTCCCGCCTTGCACTTTGCGAGAGCAACCCTCACAAACTCTCTGTATAGAGTACCCTTTTTTTACTCTTATTTCTTTTGTTTCGTTTCGCCATTTGTCTGAGTACATATTTCCTCCTCTTCACGCTCCAACTAAGAAAACCCCGTGAAACCGATGTCTGAGCAAGTAATCGTTAGCAGAGGCGCATTTCCGTACATCTCTAGAAGAAATACACATTCGGTAAGCTAAGACGAAGTACACAGCGTATATGGAGAAATCGCATATTGGAGTGAGTGCTTCCAGTATGACTCACTGAGGAGGGAGCGGCATAGGAAAATCAACGTCTAGGGCTTCAATGCTACTAGTTTTTTTTAAAGCTAGTCGCTTTGAAGCCCTAGACGTCTATGGAGAAGTTACGACTCGTTAGGGCACACTGGATGGCTCCTCTTGACAGCGGGGTTCCAGAACTTTTCTTCACCAATTATAGCTGGAAAATATTATGGAACTTTGCCCATCAACTCACTTAGCGTTCCGCACAACCGAGTCCCGACTACACTCTAGTCTGCTTGGGTCACATATTGCCACAATCCTCGTTCGCCATTGCAGTGGTCTGCCTCACTAAATTCGCATCCCTTCTGAATGCTGTCACTCAAGGATTTCTCACTTGTGTACGTCTTCGTAGCTTTGGTTGACAATCTGTCCTGAATAGATTATGAATTATTGAAATCGCACAAAAAACGTCACCAGCAAATACCGACAAATAGTTGACAAAGGCTATTCAGAACGAAAACTGCGGAAAAGAGACTATCGCAAAAAATGTGAGAACAGCGTTGCAGAAAGAGACTGCTGGAAAGCAAGCGAGCACAAAAAAAGACAGCCATTCGCCATCAAACATGAGAGCATAGGAATACTTTTCGTGTAGTCTTACCCATTATTTTGTAAAATGAAAGGATCTTAAACCTACTCGAATAACCTGATAGGCTACTTCTATCTCATGTCTGTTGTGATCTGAATTAATAGTATATAAACTAAATAGCGCCACTGATAATGGTTGGAAAAAAAACTTATCCGTTCGAGCATAACATGAACTGCAAAAAAGCCTACCAGCCATGATTTGTGTTTAGTGCTCAAAACGAGTGGTGTAATTACAGCGTATGGCGATTTCGACAGTATGCAAAAGCGACAAGGTCGCCTTCGACGACACATCGTCGAAGGACATCTTCGTTGACAGGGTGAAAGCTCATATCAATTTTACTAGCCATCCCGTAAGAACCAACAACTTCCGAAATTTTTACGACCATGTACGGAAAGTAATCCTCAGCGACTCCTGATGAATGCTTGAGATGCACTCAGACCACCACAGGATTACATGTGAGAAAAAGAGCTTTGAGCGCTTTGGCACGAGGTGTCTCCAAAGAGATTTGGAAACGAAGACTTATCTCGACTTCATATAGGACATGAATCATGAGACAGTGACAGAAAGGTAATGCTTGTTTTTGCGATGTTCGTATTGCGCACTATTGCGCTCTTGCAGGACTGCGTCAACGTTCAAAGATTTTGAGGCAGTAGCTAAGCTGTGATGAGAAAATTCAAAGGCAGCGCCCGGGCAAAAATGGGAAGGATGAACTTTTACCGCAACACGGTAGCAGGCCTCTCAGCTACCGAAAGCGATTTGCTCTGGAAGAGGTCCTCCTCAGACAGCGGATAGGACCCCTCCGCCGGAGAAATGGCAGGGTCGCGGCGTTTCCCCAGCGGTGGGTCTCCCATTTGTCCGGCGGAGCCCTCCCATTTCTCCGGCGGAGACCTCCCATTTCTGCTCCGGATACCTCCCATTTACTGCTCCGGATACCTCCCATTTTCTGCTCCGGAGCCCCCCGATTTTGTGCGCCGGAGCCCCCCGATTTTGTGCTCCGCAAGTCTGCCGCGGCATACAGTAATTACCCCTAATTAAAGGCAGCTTCCAGGCAGATCTGGACCTATGGGGCTTTTACATGGAAAGTCTTTTGGGGCCCTAACTAAGGCACTGCCGAAGCAGCAGTTTAGGTAGTGCTCTAATGGCGGAGATATTCCCCTCGAAACAGACCCCCCGCGAACGTATTCGCATGAATTCATGGCAGTTTCGCGCGAGGATCCACGCTTTGCGCCATGAATCCATGCGAAACACGGTCGCGGGGTCCAGTTTCGAGCAGAATATCTCAGGCGTTAGAGCACTACTTGAGCTGCCAGTTGGGTAGTGGCTTAGTTAGGGCCCCAAAAGTACTTTCCATGTAAAATCCCCATAGGTCCAGACTTGCCTGGACGCTGTCTTTAAGCTCCAAACCCCAATTTTGTCTCTAAACCCCACCCAAATAAGCCGAGTGGGACCCCCCCCCCCCCCGGGTAGGAGTTTAGCGCGACCCTCACCCCGTACTCTACCCCCTCCCTCTCACCCCTAGCGTTTGTGGATAGAAGATAGAAGAAAGAGAAGAGATAAGACATTTATTTCAAATTTTTCAAACTTTCGAAAAATCATCTTATATCGTTAATCATTTCACACCCCCTGGTGTAAAAAAATGAACCTTTCCAACAAGACAACGGTTTGTGGAACAGTTTAAATTGCAGTCGCAGTTGGCCCATATTATTTATTTGCTTGCATATATGAAGAACGAATTTTCTCCACTGATGTCATCGGGAACAGCGCCAAGATTGAATTTGTTATTTTGATGAGCCAGTGCTAGAGATGCTCGTCGTAAATTGCGCTCCTCATCTGCTCCCTATAAAACAAAAGAATAACGTAAACTCTGAGACTTAAGAAAATGATTGGAATCTGTTAACGGATACTAATCGAAACTTGTCAAACAGTTACTTGAAACAAACTTTAGCTTCTCCGACGGTATACGATAGTATGGGGAAAACAAAATTCCACATTTGGGTTGTTCAATTTCTCACTTTGGGATGAACAATAGCTACCCTACCCTTAAGGATCCCTAAGTAAAGAAAATATACTTGCTAAAGTAAAAAGTCTCGAAAAGACCCGACACCTTTCCCAAGATACGTTCGCGTGCTTCACGTGCCGGATCCTAAAATATTTCGATTTATAGGCAAAGATCGAGTATCGAATAAACTAGTTCAATGAATCAGGGCAAAAACGGTCGAGAGATGTGACAAACTTTCCAAAACGTAACTTACCGCAACGATTGTGAAATCGAACCGCACATAGATAATTACAACGGTAAAGAGTGCAAGAAAAATGCCGTGGCGAGCAATGGTTCGCGGATCATTTGCGAGAACTCAATCGTAAAACAGCTGAAAATGTATGACATAATTTCCAAATTCTAGCAAAAAAGAACATCGATTTATTCAGATCGAAGAGCAACTCACAGTGAAAGACTGGATATGCTCTAGAACAAGGTTTTCTTTCTGCAACACTATAACTGTTCTGCCAGTTGTGTCCAAGTATGTAGCGCGGACTTCATCGGGTCTTCTATCCATGCTGTATGGTGTGATAAGCCTCGCTTTTCTAAAATCAAACATGAATTTTAAAAAGCAGAGATGCGTTACACATCGGAAAAGGTTAGGTGCAATGTGTAACAAAGGGTGGCTTGTTTGTCGAGCACCCCAATTATATGTTGGTTCCTTCTCAACAATTTAAACTATATGACCCTTTTTCTCAAGACTGACAGTGGTGATCAAGAGCTTACCTTATCATTTCTGGCAGGATGATCTTCGTCGTAAGCTTTTCAACCACAGCACTGTCAAAAATATGGTCGAGAACTCTCATTTTTAGCGCATAATTATTGCCCTTATTGTAAAGATATTCGAAAGAAGGCACATTATAACCGATAACGTAGGAAGTGCGCCATCCTCCAAAAAGCGGGAATCTGAACGATAAAAAGGAATAAAATATTAACAGAGGCAATAAGTACGTGACATGTAACTCGGTTTCAGTTCGACATCAACAGAATCAGCGCGAAGTCGCACAGCTGATGTTGATATGTTTCCAATCTCATCTCTATAGTATATATCCTTGACCGACGCTGGTAAAATCGTCTGAATGGGTAAAGTGGAGCCTATTGAAAAAAGTGCTTCTTTGTAGCGATTCTATACAAGCTAATAATGAATCTAATGCCATTTGCTAGCCGCTCCTAGCTGCTCTTAGCCTCCTATTAGATTGTGCATCATCATAGAAACAGCTCTTAGATTTCTAAGAGCTGTTTCTATGATGATGCAACAACAAGCAAGAGTATGGATGCTCTTTTCATCATAACTTGCAAAAGTGATGAAACTTATCACAAAGTTAGAAAAGATGATATATAAAATGGCACGTAAAAATTCTTTCACTTCCGGATTTCTAAGTCACAATGCTAAAACGCAAATGGGACACAGTTCAAGAACCACTTTTGCTGGATCGCAAATTGTGGGTTCAACAAAGGGCTTCTAGATCCCCTTCTCAATCATGATGCGAACGATCAAGAAGATACCCAGAAGCGGCATAAGAGTAGGGCCGTCTTTGCATTCGAGAAAAAAAGCAGTGTCACACAGTAAAATCTGTTAATAGTGGGACTTACCGTGAAATACAGAAGAGCCGGTTGTCGACGCCCCCTACGATCCAGTTGATGATCAATGCGAGAGACGGGTTCCCTAGATGACCTACACGATTGAGCGAACATGATTCAAACAAAGATTACATACACTTTTCTCGCTAGCAAGGAACCACCACTGAGGCACGAGCCACGCATACTTTACCTTTCTGTTTCTTATCTGGCGTTGCATGAGACTGGTTCATGCTGATCTCTAAGCTCCGGAACAGTGCCAACACAGTGCCCGAACTGTGCGCTGTGCTGGAACTGTTCCGGAACATACGGATCAGTATGAATCCAGTCTAAGAGAATGAAACAAGCGAGATCTGACAACACCAAATGGCAAATCATCAGTGCTTTTGGAACACTGTATTTTCTTCTAAATCGGATGAAGTCAAACTTTGTGGAATATGCCTGCTCTGTATAGCAGAACATTGCAAAAATGGAAAGTGTGAAGATCCCACCTGAGATGACAGATCGATAGCCCTCTCGACATTAGCCACTTTCCAATCAGCAGCAAACGCCACTCCCACAATGAGGATCAGTGGCATTGAAGGCTCGCGCAACTGGGGGTTCATTTTTATCTAAAACGGACCTCATTTGTATAACCAAAGCTGTAGAAGTGAAAGCTTACTCCTTTCCACGCTGATAAATGCAGATGCGTTGGCTTTCAGACCTCCATCGTCTTCCACAACGGCATAAACACGTAATGACCCTCTATCAGCCCCGATGCTGTTGCTTTAGCTTTGTCGGCATTCACCAACAAAGCATTTGCAGGACCTCTAAAACAAAAAAGAAGTAGAATTCGGTTTTGGATTGAATAGAAGCCTTACGAGACTTGTGTCCACTGGTAGCTAACAATGCTGCCATCGTCCTTAGCATTGCCATTAAGAACGATGGAAGATTCGGGAAGTGTATGATTACCGCCAGCATCAGCAACTAAAATTGTGATTTCATAAGATCAGAACTCAATTTCACACGGTAACACAGCAGCATGGAGCCATTGAAGAAGAACAGAGAATAATTGAATTCAAAAAAAAACATAACATAAAAGTGCGACATTCAAGAAACAACTCGCCTGGAGGCAGATTTTGAGCTTAAGCTGACACTGAAGGTGATTGAGTGCAACCGCACGAAAATTTGAAACATAAACCTGAAAACGAGGAACTTACAACAACATAAAGGCCAACGCGACGAAGAGCAACGCGGAAAAGAAAAAAAACGGTAAAGAAACGCGCAAAAACAACAAAATCAAAGAAACGGCGACTAAAATATGGACAAAGAGCGTAAACAGAGGACTCATCACCGTGGAGTTAGACGTTTGCTTGCTACGCGCCAAATCGATACGCAGCCTGCTCCGGATACCTCCCATTTTCTGCTCCGGATACCTCCCATTTTCTGCTCCGGATACCTCCCATTTTCTGCTCCGGAGGCCTCCCATTTCTGCTCCGGACCCCTCCCATTTTCTCCGGCGCGTCTCTTCCAAATTTGGCGGACTCGCGCCGGGCAAATTTCTCCGGCGCGGAGTCCGCCAAATCTGGCAGAGTCGCGCCGGAGAAATGGCGGACCTTTGCAGCAGGGCCGGAGAAGCCTCTCACTTGCCTGCCAGTGATGTCACCGCGATGGACCGCCCATTTGCCCCTCTCTCATTGGTCAACTGGGTCCGGCGCGACTCTGGCAGTTTCGGACTGTCCGGCGGAGGGGTCCCGTCGATTGTCTGAGTCCGCCCGCTGGGTCCTGCGGTCGCACGGTAGGAGACTATGTCGCCGATAGGCTCCCCCCCCCTTCCTCTCCCCGCGGACATATGGTAAAAATCTGCAGTGTCTGCAATACGCATGACTGCGTGGTAGTTGCAGATGTCGCTTGGGACACTTCCTTTCGCCAACAATAGTCCTTTACCCCCGCTCGACCATTAACGAGCCGCGAATGCATACTGACTGCGATCGAAACCAGCAAGCACCTCTGCACCCTCTACACTATCTAACTCGACATCATACTTCCTTATTCCTATCGATCCCATCTATCTTAAGCTTCGTCACAGAGCTTGCGAGAACTTCCTTTTGACGGTTTTAAGCAGTTTGGAGCTCGCATTCTTGTTTAGCGCAGCAGTAACTCAGAAGTCGAAGGGATACCACCGGCGGGCAAATGGCGCGAGTCTGCCACTTCGCGCTCTGGAGCGCTCCGGAGCCCTGCCATTTCACGCATTTTGCTGCTCCGGGGCTCTCCCAAAACTGGCGCGCCTCCGGAGCAGAGATTTGCGCGTCCCGGAGAAGGGTCCCAATCGCCTGCTTGTGACGTCATCGTGACGTCACGGTGAATGAATGGGACCCCTGCTTGTGACGTCATCGTAACGTCACGATGAACAAATGGGAACCCTCTCCGGGATGCGCAAATCTCTGCTTCAGAGGTGCGCCGGTTTTGAGAGAGTGCCGGAGCAGCAAAATGCGTGAAATGGCAGGGCTCGGAGCGCTCCAGAGCGCGAAGTGGCAGACTCGCGCCATTTGCCCGCCGGAGGTATCCCTTCGACTGTCTGAGAAGGCACAACAAAGAAAAAAATGCAAAGGACGCCGACTTGCGCGGACGCTGCCCATTAAAGCAGTCGGTCCAGGTTCTCGACTTCCATGTTGTTGTCGTTCCGGAGCCTTCTCATGCTCTTGATTCAGATTATGAAGTCGAGAATCCGCGTGTCGTGACGAATATCTGAAAGATTGTGTTTGCGTAGTCTAACTTTGTACCCAGAAAGCGCAAAGAAATATATGTGGTAAGAAAATGCTAGTTGACAATTTTACTAGGAAACTTTTGTGATTTTTTAATCATTTCACTACCCTTTTTTATCGGAATTCTCAATGTAGCTGCAATCCAGCACAGTATTACGTAATCTTTGCAAATCTTCAAAAAAATTCGAGTCGCAAAAGAAGACAGGGCCACCAGCGCATCTACCATACCCCTTATCCGGGAGACGACTTCATTTATGTGAGAATTGTGAAAGTATATTACAGTTAAGTGATCTTATTTTTAGAGTCAGTTTTGATTATGCAAGTCTATGGCTTGTTTGCTTTTCTCTGAAATATGGCTTTCAATGGTCTGAAAGCCTTCCCTAAACTCCTACTGTAATTCCACAATGATGAAGAAATCTAAGTTGAATCACCCTCCACCTAAAGGGCACATTTTTGGGATCATGGTGTGCGCTTTGCGAACAAATCATAAACTTCTTTCAAAATATGGGAAATTTCTAAAAAAACAGCTCGTCATATTTATTAGCAACAGAACGTTTCCATAATACTCCATTGTTGGTTCCGACTGGCCCTTGTTTAGTACGTCCCATATTTCTGTCACCAAATCGTCATCTATGAGATTCAATGAGCTGCAAACACAAATCATTTCCTTATTGGAGACCCTTCATTCACAAAAGTCAAACAATATTCCGACATTTTCATTTTTTATACTCAAAGACACTGAGCAAGCTTATATTCCAGTTAGAATGCAACTTAACTTGCGCAACTATAGGCCGTCCGCGCTGCGCGCGGTAAGCAACGCTGTTGCGTCCGTTGAAGATAGTTCATGACTGGAAGAAGCGCAGAGAAAGCAGGCGACGAGAGTACACGGAGAAAGACGACTGACGCGCAATACACACGTTGCGCACTCTCCGCGCCCTGCGCAGACGGTCTATAATAGCGACCTCCAGCATAAGAGCCAGGCCAGATCCACCGCCGTTTGGTTTTTTGGTGCTAGGCGGTTATCCCCGCTCGAAGCCCGGGGTCAGCGATCGCCCCGTGGAAATCAAGAGTAGGCCTAGTAAGCCACTTCTTGTAGGGGAAAAATTCATATTATTCCTCCAGTTAGAAGAATAGAAAGAAACCCTGCACATCGTATCCAGCCTACGGCGCCGGGTGGTAGCAGGAACGATGTCAGGGTATTCAGGGCGCCTTTCGGATTGGACAAAAACAACACGTCTGCCCGGACGACACGCCATGGAGACTGCCTCATGCTCTGCGCCTACAGCGCCAGTGGCCGTATTCATCAACGAACCCTGAGGGTTAAGCTTACCCTCCAGGGTTAGTTTAACCCTCAAGGTTCATTGGCCGTATTCATCAACCATAGGCTAGGGTTTACCACGGAACGCGATCTATCCGCATCGATCAACGAACCTGTGGCCGTATTCATCAACGAACCCTATGGTTGATGAATACGGCCAATGAACCCTGAGGGTTAAACTAATCCTGGAGGGTTAAAACGTCAGTTATGCGTGCGCTGTGCAAACTCACATCACAGAATGCCTAAGTACGCTAAATTTACTTTATACTTCTATTCTTTCACTGTTATAGTAGTATAACGAATGAGCTTCTAGCACTAGTTTTAATGATACATCTCTAGCATATTTGTGCAGAATCCAATCTTACAGCGTGGGTTTATTTTCATGTGTGCAATTGTGCCGTGTAAATTCTTTTGCGTAGTTCGTTTTATACCGGGCTTGTGCTACTCTTTTAAGGGTCAATGCGTGTTATCATAGGAATTCTTCTGTTTTGGCACTTGTCAGAGTGGAATGCGCAACCATTTTTCCTCTTTGCATTCATTTGTCACCAAGCTAGGATTTTTTTTTCTGGCGAAGTCAGTGTTTCATGTACTTCGAATTGAACACGAAACGAAGTTGAAACTAGATACTATAAAACAACTAATACTAAGCACTACAACACTCGTTGATCGTTCTCTAAAACTATTAGATGCGAGTAGATGTTTGTATGAAGTGTTAGGGTAGAGTTAACCTTGCTCTGAGCTAGGGTTAAATTAACCCTGATGAATCACGTAAGTTTAACCCTCCAGGGTTAGTTTAACCCTCGCGGTTCGTTGATGAATACGGGTTAGTCGCTTTCGGGGTGAAATTAATCCTCAAGGTTAGATTTAACCCTCAGGGTTAAGCCTACCCTGTGTTTCATGAATACGGGTTAAACGCTTTCCAGGGTTAAACTAACCCTCCAGGGTTAGTTTAACCGTCGGGGTTCGTTGATGAATACGGCCACAGGACAGTCTCCACAAACGCCGACCTCCACGCTCTTCTCGACGCTGCAGAGCACATCAAGTACCACATCATTGCTCTGCAGGAAACGAAGTCCAGGAAGAAGGACGTGCGACAGATGAGTGATGAGACTTTCATCATTCGTGGCATACCTTCGATAGTCTAGAAACAGGGCGTCAAAAGTGAAGGTTGTTTGAACATCTGACGTCATAAATAGTGAAGGTTGTTTAAAGAGGATCAGAGAAGAGAATATGACGTAAAACACATATAAAAAGCGAAAGAAACTGCTGAAAACCGGATAAAAACGCTGCAATGAGGTATGAAATCTTTCACTTGGCGGCTTTTCGAAGTGCAAGTTTTCGCTTCAGGACCAGCAATTCGCAACACGGGTTTTGATTTTTGATGCGTCCTTTAAATTTTTTTACCCCCGCAATGACGTGCCTGTTTCCTGGGACGTTGTCTGGATTGTTGCGCTTATTGTACTGAGCAATAATCGCCCAAACTGGAAAAAAATTGATGCGAAAGCACTGAAACAGAACAAAGTGAAGAAAAACGCACTTTTCACGATTTTTCGCAAAAAGTTCCATCATAATCGAAGAGGTAAGGGCTGGGTAGTTGTCTGCATTATGAAAAGAAGCAAGATCTATAGAATGCACAAGAAAACCGCGTGAACATAGTTAAACTAGGAGAAAAACAAGAGATTTTCGAAAACAAGGTTTTTGCCGGATTTCTCGATCAAATCAGAAAATGTGGTTCTGGGACGTTGTCAGCTAAAAATAGAGATCAAGAGCTTCAAAATGATATATAGCCTGCTAAAATCGGGCTCGAAACAGCGAAGAAAAGGGTACCAGAGCCAAATGCCCCGCGCCCCGCGTTTGGGGTAGCGAGGTAGCGCGCAGCGCGCGGAAACGCAGACGAGCAGCGGAGACAGACCAGAGCCGACGGGGCGTTTGGCTCTGGTCGTACATCTCCGCAGGGTCTCAACGAAACCCTGCAACATTATATATCATTCTGATCGTCATGACACGACGAGGAGAAGAGGAGAACTGACAACGTCCCAAGCTTTGAAGATCACTCATTAACGAGATAGACCAGCGTTTTCCTGCGCGACTCTCTGCGCAAGACTTAAGCGCAGTTTCTCGTTTTTATTTAACTCTTTCCTAAACTTCTGGAACGCGATTCTGTTCAAATAAGAGGATAACTGAGGAATTTTGTCTTGAATTCTAGCGAAATTACCACAAAAACCTTCTTTTTAAGGTAAAAAAGGCAATGAAAATGCAAATTCTCGGTTTCGCTGAGATAAGCTAAGGATATTATCCCCTATATTTGCTTCATTAACATTCGTTCCAGTGTAGTCA